TGCAATTGCCGAACATAAATTTTGTGCCTGCTTAATTCTTGTCCCATAATCAGACGCCGATACTTACTTCTGGTTGTAGCCGAGGCAGGTTCCCGCGGTGTGTCTAGAGTGAAGAATTGTTGCGGAACGCGTTCTTTGGGGGCCGTCTTCTTCCCACACTGGATCCTCCGTATCCAGCCCCACGTTGGGCGCCAGATGTCCCGACCCGCGAGACAGTCAGCGTGGGTTTCTGGAGGGAGGAAAAGGGGGACAGAAAGGGACAAGAGATGCGAAGAATGGAGACAAGACAGGCTTTCTGATCAAGTCTCCTTTAATGAACATCCACACACAGTTTTTATAGGGAGGAGAGGGGGAAGTTAGCAGGGAGAATTCCATTGAAGTAGAGCAATTCAATTAACAGAATGATTGTCACAATAACACCACACCAATTGATCACAGAGTAAATTCCATAGTAACATCACAATTCTATATAGCAAGTTATAAATCAATTAAGAGGTTACACTTGTGTGATTACAGAGTAATACCAAAGTTTCTTAGCAATTACATGAGAAAATGAGGGAGTCTCTCAAACGTTAAGTGCCCGGGTTAGAACAACATGTTTGTGAGAGGCTTTCAAGTATAGTCATCTGGTTAATCTCAAACCAGGCCAGCCTTGATGTCTGAAAAACAGCTTTGCCAGGAATCAGGTCTTGCTATTTCCTGGGGTAGGGGCCTACGGCTCCTGACAACTATGTAGACCTGGCTGGCCTCGATCTCACAGAGATCCACCTGCCTCTGCCTCCCAAGTGCTGGGATTAATTTTTTTTAATGTAGTCCTTGAAGATTTCATACATTTATGCAGTATATATTGATCATATCCATCCATCACTACTTTCTTCACCCTCTAGTGTATTCCACCCCAGCTCTCTCCTAACTTCATGTTTTCTGTTGTCATTAATAACCTCCTGAGTCCATTTAGTGCTGCCCATCTCTGCATGGGGTATAGCCATTCAGTGGGACATGAGCAACCTACCAGTGACCATGTCTTCAAAAGAAAGTGACTCTCCTTTGGCAGCCATCAACTTCCAAGAGTTCCTCCAATAAGGTGGGGCCTTGAGGGCCCTTACCCCATCTACACTGGAATTTTGACTAGCTGGATCTTGTACAGGTAATCCTAGCTGCTATGAATTGATATGTGCAACAGCCATTTCATGTCCATGAGTCTGTATTTCACCCTTTCCTCTGCATCTTCTATCACTTCTGTCTGCCCCCTGTTCAGTGAAGTTACCTGAGCCTTGGATAATGGGATGTTGCTATAGATGACCCATTCACAGCTGAGTACTCATTTATATTTGGCACTTTGCAATAACCACTACCCACTACAAAAACGTCTCTAACCAAATTTGAGAGGAGCACAAATCTGAATATAAACATTATATTTAGAGTGCAGTTTGACAGCATGACCATTTATCAAAACACTAAAATGGCAAAACTGACTCCATTTT